ATGGACACAAGGGAGAAGTTGTGGTGGGGAGAGATTTGGGGAAAGGGGTGGGTATGAGGGGGGGATGCGGTCAAGGATATGAAGGAGAGATGAAGGAGAATGGGAGGGGAAGGAGGGCGGGAGGGGGAGGGGGGAGTTGGGGCTTCTCGGCCTCTATCAAACGAAAAAAATAAAAAATGTATATATAACCAACAGAAAAGAAAGAGAGACAGAAGGCGAGCGCGTTTTCCACATCGTACAGATACTGGACCCTCGTCGCCGGTCAGGCCCCAACGGCCATCTTGTTTTAACGGTCCCGCCACCTATTCCCCCTCATATGCGTGGGAGTACAGCCGAGTTCTCTCGGATCTCCACTCTGTTTTTATTCCCGCCGTATTGTGAAATTGTTTTGAGAATAATATTGTAGGGGGCCCACTGTTTTTTTTTGCCATTTCTCGCACCTTCTGCGCGAGACCCTTCTTTTTCAAAATTGTCTAAGATAAATCTAGGTTCTCTAAGTAAAAATCCATCATCAAAGGAAAGAATGATTACTCGTTTTTTCGGAGTTATTGCATATTCGAATTGGATATGATATGATATGAATATGATAATGTGATAATTTTTAATAACAAATGCAGGAGAAATCATTAATGAACAGATAAAAAAAACGTAAATATTTCACAGTTTATAATAAATGTATTTGTAAGTTATATCGTTGAATGTAAAATGTATAAAAACGTTATATTTGGGCCTTATAGACAAATAAATCGAGCGGGCCGATTTTTAAGATTCCCACCCAAAAAAAGAAGCATAACTTCCATCCAGAATAAAAAATGAAGCCAATACCGATTTGAGATGAGACCCGCAATGAGGATGGGTAATTGGAAAGCGTACTAAAAGCACTTTCTCGATTTTCGGGTGCGTTTATTCTTTCACCAGCAACTTCACGAGATGATGGACCAATGAAGACAAATCTCGACATAAACCAACTTCACTCGGATGCGGATGCCTATAAATAACCTCTCTTTTTCATACGTCTCTCCTCACCTCGAGCAATTGGACGAGTGACAAAAGCCCGTCCGAATAAATACAGCCTCGAAGACATGCGATCATGAGACCAAGCTGAGGGGTAAGTACACAGTATTTACGCTCAAACGGGATGAATGTATTCACGTGAGGGGGCAACTTACACAGCGCATATCGTTTCGAGTTCGTGTATAACCAACGATTATCGTATATCGGGACACTAATAATAAGCCACGAGGCACGGTAGCGTGTATATACACGTTACCCTGTACGTATACATGAAACCATGTACATTAGACATTATTCGAATATAAACGTTCGCCGCATCGAGTGAATAAATATCATTGGCCGTATGTGTGCGTGTCGATGTAATTTCACTGAGCGTATTTTCAATAAAAATTTTCCATTAATATAATGCCGAGGGAAACAACTCCGTGGATATTCCATAATCCTGACGTTCAACGTCTCAAGGTCATTTCCATCGCATGACTGATTAAACGATTAAGGAATTAGAAAATATTTTTCTCTCTCGAAATACGCATTTTCTCGTTTGCGAAAATTGTTTTATTTCGATGTTCTTTCATCTCGCATTTTATGAGTAAAAAATTCATTTTTTTTTCTTCTTTTATTCGTTTTTTTTTTTTTTTTTTGGTAATCATCTCGGGTTTCCTGTCGGTACAACCGCGTGGGGGACTATTATCACGATGGCGCGAAAATTACATGTTATTTCTCTCCTATGCATTGAAATGAGGCACTTAATCTCGGGATCATATAAAGCAGCGACAAAATCGCAAAAATAATCAGTTCTTGGCCATTTACGCGCGTATATCACTCGATGTCGGGAATTAAAATCGAGGGATTGACTCGGACTGTTGGAATTCTTTGGAGTTTGATTTTTTTTGAGGCCATGAGACCATTAGCCATTTTTTCAGACTAAAATATCAATCTGATTGAGAAGAAAAAAGTGTTTCTAAATGTTTTCGCATTAATTACTCAAATTTCTTCAACTCAGATTGTCATTTGAATAATCTGAGCCGTTTGTGTGACTCATATAAAAAACGATATTGTTATAATAATAATGTGTGAATTTCCTAAATTTTCCATCAAGTACTCATTTTTTTCTTCGATTTAGAATACTTCATTCATGTATTCTATTTAATATTTCGATCCATACTGTTGACATGTAGTCATCTGTCCTATTTACTCTCTACAAAACGTGTTTATCAATATTTTAGAATGATTTATCACTCAACTTTTCCAATTCCAACTGTCCCATGAATTTTCACAGCCATTTGTGTAATTCGTACGAAGAACGATATTGTACTAATGTCTAAATTTCCTACCTATCCTTTCCTACATTTTCCATTTAGTTCTAATTCTGTTCTTCAAACCTCAAACTAGCTGATCTGTACTTTCGACACGCAAAAATCCACACAAAAGGAAAATGAAAGTATAAAAAATTACATAAATCATACTATAGGAGCCTGTAGGTCCCTTACTGTGCGAAAAAAATCCAACCCGCCACAATTATCCGCAACCATATGTTTTTCGCAAGAAAACAAGTGACCGAATAGTGACTCGTCTAATTTTCACCTTCAATTCATCTCCATTAACAAAACTCTATTATCTCACCCCTGGGCCCAATTGGGTCCCTCTCAAAGGGAGCAAAAGCGTCCGCCTTTTGGGAAATATGACCCGAGTGCCCCCAACTTTAACAGCCCTCCCCCTTCTCCCCATATCCTTGAGATGACTGTGTTTATTCCTCCTCGCATGTTCATACAATTTTTATTTGCCTCCCCCTCGGGTTGTGATATGCCAATGGCCGACACGCGATAGGAGTGGAGAGTTGGCGTCCAGCGCCAGACGATCCTCCGCGATTCAATCGAAAGGGGACCCCGGGCCCAAAACCCAGTGAAAGGGAAGGTGAATATTTTGCACAGCATCTTGGGGCCCAAATTCCCCCCTA